CTCTCTCTCTCTCTCTCTCTCTCTCTCTCTCTCTCTCTCTACTAAAATCGTAAAAGATATCAAAACGGAGCTTCTGAGTTCTAAAATCTTGTCGAGCTCAATCGAATTAAATAAAAGGTTAAAAAAAAAAAAATTTGCATAAAATCATGTTTTTCAAACCTAACGAGTCACACTAGCTATGGCTCAACTTCAAAATTTATTAGCGACTCGTTAAGTGAACGAGTTGTAGAGAGTTGAATCCAATGAAAAGTTAAAAAAAACTAGTGCGGCACTCTTGAAATGCACGAATTAATTTTATTAAAATAAACATTTAAATTTAGAATAGACAAAATGAACTCAAAATACTCCTTCTTTATTCCAAGAGAAATGTTATTTATATCTATATAATGCACTAAACCTTATTGCCATAATTGTCATGATTTTGGGCGGGAAATTTTTTCGGCTATATTTGGCATGTGATTAATATTATTTATTAGCAAATTTTATGTACAAAAAATATAATTAATTTTTATACACTCAATGATTGTTACTTTTTTTTTCCAAAACGATAGAATGATTGTTACTCATTAACTACAAATTGACTTAAATTAAAATTTTGACCGTAGATTTATTAGATATTTTTTTAATATGATCTTATATTCATTTAATAGTGCTTTATTGATACAATTCAAAAAAATTATTATGGAAATTGATTTAATTAAATATATTATCATTTATGGTTGTAGGTGTTAATCTAATTAATTATGTTCACTATATCTAAGTACTTAAAATATTTAATTTATAATAATAATAACTATATTTACATAATATCTTAATAAATAATTTAAAATATTAATAAAAGTTTCTAAAATATAGTCAATTTAACTATAAAAAGGAATATCTCATTGAATATATCATATAATACTATTGAAAATTCAAATAATATATCATAAGAATAAAATTTGATGGTCGGGTGCAATTCATAATCATAAATTTCACCTTATAAGTATCTATGTACATTAAAAAACCTATTCAATTTTTTTAAAAAAATATATTTTTTTTCTTATATACTATTTTATAAAGAAAAAATAAGTTAATAAAAAATGTATATTAATATAAAGTATTGCACTTGGTAATTATGGAAATATAAAATATATTTAAATATTTGAATAGATACTATATAACTCATTATCTAGGTTGAAAAAATGAATTAGAGAAATAAATATAAATAAAAATGAAAACATTAAAATAAAATATCTAACCATAAAAATTTATGTTCTGCATAAGGATTAAAGTTACTAAAAATTAAAATTTTATTTATCAAAGTTTTGAACATTTAATGCATTAATAATTATACCGGAAGATAAATATTATGGGTTAAACATTGGTCAGTCATCAAACAATGCGCAAATTATAAATTATTGAAAAAATTATAAGACCTTGATAAACGGTAATTTTGTCAGTATAAACAAGTAATTTGTATGCAAATATCATATGATCTTATACATTTATAATATTTTGTAAACTAATAAATAATAAAATTTATATATTAAATAGTCAAAACCTACAAAAACGACTATATAGAAATAAAAATAACAATAATAAAGAAATAAATGTCATATTATTACTTAATAAAATATTGTGGAGAATAGAATTTCATATTGTCTTAAATAATGTATTTAAATAAAAAAATATTTCTTTCTATCGCACCCCGTGCATCGCACGGGTATCAACACTAGTATGTACGTAACATTGTACATAGAGATAGAGGTGTACATAACACTCACATTGAGTGGAGACCTATCAAATATAAAGAAAAATACTACAAATACATAATAAGTGTATATAAAGGTGTACATAAGGGCGTCTCCAATGGTTAGCTATTTGGCTAACTATTATGACGTGGACAAGGGA